CCCCAAAACCCCAAAACCCCATCAAAGTATTCTCAATTTAAGAATAATCAATTTAAAATCAAAAACATAATCTTACTTAAAACTCAAATAAATCCAGCAAAAATATTGCCTCTCTAACTCATCTTAATTTTATTAAAATCATATTAAATGTATTTCTGCTCAATATCTTTGACTGCAATTTTAAAATTATTACTTAAATTTTTGGCAATTTCATCACGTATACTCTGCTCTTTAATTTCACTCTCACTGTCCATCGACATATCTTCATCATCATTTAATTCATGAGTGAGATCAAGGAGATATGATGATTCATCTGAACTTTCATCTTAACTCATTTCATCTGATAAGTTTTCTGATTAAATTTATAGTCTCTGCTAATTTTAATTGCTACTCTATATTGTGGAAGTGGAAGTCTCTCTTTTCTTTGATTCATAAGGGTTGATAATAAGGCCTTATTCTTCAAGTAATTGCATTTAGTATTGAGTAGTTTTAAAAAACCAGAACTTCTTAGGCATTTATAGATCCATGCACTATTAGTATGACAACTTAAATTATGATAGTTAACTATAAAGGGAGACTCTTTCCCTTACTTGTTTGAGTTTCTCAGCCTCGGTTTATGACTCTTTTAAAACCCACTGCAAGTCAGTTCTGGTCTGGAACTTTACTTAATTAATGAAGTGAAACTCTTCTTCTGTAAGCGTCTCGTCCATTTGAAATGGGAATGATAAGGTTTACTGGCTGTGAGAGAAATACTTACTTACAGACTAAAAATATGAGGCATCAATTACTTACTTAAATTTGATAGAGAAACTTTTCAAAGTTTAGGTTAGCTACATCTCTCAGGGTGCAGTATATAGCATTTTCTTACCGTCCAGGCAGACAATTGACCTCGTAAACTTATTTAGCAAAACTCTTCAAGGAACATGTAGCCTCGCTTTCAAAAAATGTGTAAAGCTATCTATATTTGATCCATTCAGATACGGTGATTCGACAGAGCTTAGGCAATAAGAGTCGTTTATTCCCAATATCCAGATCTTATTCAAACTCATCAATAAGATAGTCCTCTTTGAGTAAAAGCTCTCCTTACTTTATTGAATGAGTTAGCCAGGCAAGGTTATATACAGGACCGCAGAAATATTTTCGAGGTTCAAGAGGATACTGCTCAAAAGGTGCTATTTAAACTGAAGCGCAGTCATGAGTAGATACAACTATTCCACCATACTTATTGATGATTGAAGTAATAAGTTTCATCTAAGGATTTTCTGGAATGTAAAATAGCATTGGAACCTCAATGTTTAGACAGGGCAGATTCTGAGTAAAAAGTCTTTGAGGTTGAGGATTATTTTGCATGTAAATTATTTAAATGTGTTATAATGTTAAATGTTTATTCATCAATATTTAATTACAATCTTTGAAAATGGGGTTTTGGGGTTTTGGGG